CATCCATTTTAAACCTTGGTAATTCATCAGCGCATAGTTAATATTTAACTATGATCAGGTAACGAGTACTGYACATACAGTATCGATAGTCCAGTCTTTGAATGCGAGTTTATTAGATCATATTTCTCAAGAAATTCCTTTGCGATTTTACAGATCATTTCAATACATGTTTGATATGATGGACAAGAAATCAGATCAAGGGAACTTCACACTACGAGCTTCTTATCTTGAAGTCTACAATGAAAGGGTAAAGCATATCGTCGATAGTAAGCTTCAGATTTGACTACGACTGCACGGGCCTTTTGGGATCCCTGTGAACGAGATTAACATGGCTGTTTCGCAGACTCGTACCCAGTCGCTTCTCTCGAGCGAGGCGCAATGCATAAAGTAAATGCGTAAATGCGCAAATCGTAATGTAAAGCGTTACGACTGGGCACGAGTCTGGCTGTTTCGCATGCTATGCATAGTATTGAGTATTGAAATTTTTTTCAAAAACTCGTTAATGTTCGTAGTAAAATCTGAAGCTCACAAAGCTGGAAAATATCATAAAGTAAACCACATAAAAATCAGTAAAATGTGTGTGTCATTTGTTGTAGGTCAAAGATCTATTAAACCCTTCTAGTACCCATGATTCTCTTCCAGTACGATGGTCACGTGATAGAGGCTTTTACGTCGAGAATTTGTTTTATGTTGAGTGTGATACACTGGATGACCTTACTGCTGTGCTAGAAGAAGGTAAATCCAACTAATTTGTATAGTTGTGTTGATATAAATGATTCATATGTGTCCTTTATAACCATTTTCTTCCTAGTAGTAATTTTACAGGCTTGTTGCGTGTATATCTGGTTGCGTTTAGGTCATGTTGCGTTTAGGTTTTGCGTTTATATGTCGTTTGCGCTGGGACCTTTTTGCGTTTAGGCCGTGTTGCGTTTAGGCCGTGTTGCGTTTAGGCCGTGTTGCGTTTAGACCTTGTTGCGTTTAGACCTTATTGCGTTTGTCTTTTGCGTTTATGCCTGGTTGCGTCTAGGTCATGTTGCGTTTTTAGGCCGTGTTGCGTTTAGGCTGTGTTGCGTTTATATCTTTTGCGTTTATGCCTGGTTGCGTTTAGGTCATGTTGCGTTTAGGACGTGATGCGTTTAGGCCTTATTGCGTTTACGCCATGTTGAGAATTTATCAAAAAACTTTCCCTTGCACTCTAAAGGTTTGAAATATCGGCAAGTTGGCTCACATGGTATGAACGACCATTCTAGTAGAAGCCACAGTCTTTTGACTGTATATGTGGACATAGAAACGGTAAGTTACTGTTGCGCCATTTTTTTCATTCTCAACATTTACATTTTTACAAAGTTGCCGTGAAATTGTACATTTATATTGAAATACCTTCCGTTGAATACATTTTATTCTACTTTTTTGATATTCTTTAAATATTCACATTTCTTCAGGTTGACCCTAGTGACGAAGCGGGAATTCCCATCTTAAGGCATGGCAAAATAAGTTTCGTAGATCTAGCAGGTATTTATATTATTGGGACGGGAGGGTGGGGCTGATATGGA